TATAAGACTCTGGAAATACATTGCTGCTAAGGGCAAGATGTATTTCAAATGTAATCATGAAAACGGACTGATGAGAGCTATAAACTATACAGTGGTTTTGTAATTTGTCTTGCATGAGAAATCAGTAACTAATTTTAAAAGAAAAAAATAAAACGTTTTCTAAATTTTTCGAGCAATAAGGAGCAAAATAATTCATCTAGACAGAAATATCCTTATTGCAGAATTTCTTAAAGTGTAGTAAAACAGAACTGATAAGATTCCTGGACCTCTTCCCAAACCAACCAACTGATAAATTAGGATACCAATAGGAAACGTGTCTGTCAGAATACCCTTTACTCATTAATGGCTCAGGAAAGACCTTCCTAGTGATCTAACTTGATGATCAGAAGAACAAATCATAGATCAACACCAATCTTCTTAGTTTTCCTCACTAACACTGAAGACTTAAATAATATTAAAGCCTTTTTTAAATAACCCAGGGAACTGTATGTATTTCCCTTCTGTGCTCTAGGATAGTGTCTTAGTCATCTAGTGCTGCTGTAACAGAAATACCACAAGTGGATGGCTTTAATAAACAGAAATTTATTCTCTCCCAGTCTAGGAGGCTAGAAGTCCAAATTCAGGGCTGCAGCTCCAGGGGAAGGCTTTCTTTCTCTGTCGGCTCTGGAGGAAGGTCCTTGCCATCAGTCTTCCCTTGGTCTGGGAGCATCTCAGCGCAGGAACCTCAGGTCCAAAGGACTCACTCTGCTCCTGGCGCTGCTTTCTTGGTGGTATAAGGTCCCCATGTCTCTCTGCTTACTTTTCTCTTTTATGTCTCAAAAGAGATTGGCTTAAGACACTATCTAATCTTGTAGATCTCATCAGTATAACTGCCGGTAATCCATCTCATTAAAGTCATAATGATAGGATTTACAACACATAGGGAAATAACCTCAGATGACAAAATGGTAGACGATTATACTATACTGGGAATCATGACCTAGCCAAGTTGACAGATATTTTGGGGAAACACAATTCAATCCATGACAGACAGTAATTCTCAAACTTTAGTGTCTGTAAGAACAACTTAGCCAGTTTCTAGTAAATGCATATTTCCAGGCTCAACTAGATTCTTCATTCTAGGTTTTCAAGATTTCCAAATTGGCCTCTTAAACATTGTAACTTGTCATTTCTGGGGGAGATGGTAAATTCAAGTATCTGGATCTGCAGATCCAAAATCAAGACCAGTTTGTGGCTCCTTTAGTGATTTATGAAGGTATTGCACTCTACAAAGCCCACCTGATCAACCAAGCGACCTTTCTTTCTTTGTCTCATTTTTTTCATCACTACCCTTAACAACCCTGATTAATACTGCATGTCTTCAATTACCCAGAATTGTACTGGTTAAATTAACAAATAAAATGGAAATTGATTCTAGTATCCCTTTTTGAACAACTTTCTAAATATGTACTGCTAAGGAGTGAAATGTTTTAGCAAATAATTTTAATGGCTACTCTCTGCACAGTTGAAATTTTTGAAGTGCACCTGCCAAAGTTTTATGAGACAGGGACAGAATGGGAAACTAATAGAGACGAAGTAAAGTGATTTACAGGGTCTTCAAAAGATTTTTTTTTTTTCCATTTAGGGTTTCCTCTCAAGTTTCAAGTTGAGAGCTATAAGATTTTATAACTTAAAACAGGAAGAAAGACTGCACTGTTTCTTCAATCACAGCTTCTTGCTTCAATAAAATTGGCTATGAATTTGAACCTTAATCAAATATCCAAGAGACAACTTCCCACTTTTTCTCCCTGGGAGATATTGCTATGTTACAGTTTCTTCCCAAACGATATGGAAAAAAATACAGAGATGAAGAATGTGGTGGTTAAGGTTCTGTGCAAATTAGTCAGGCCATGATTCTCAGTGATTTGGCAGTTATGTAATGATGCAGTTATCCTCCATTTTGTGATATAATGTAATCACTTCCATGATGTGATCTGATGTGATCAGCCTATCAGTTGTAAGGGGAGTTTCCTTGGGGGTATGGCCTGCATCCAATATATATGGATGTTCTGCCAAAGTTCGATGGCTTTTGCTCACTCTGAATCCTGCATCCAGCTCATCATTCATTATCTACTCTCTGGTTCTTGGGACTTGAGCCAGCAGCTTGCCATATTGCCTGCTGATCTTAGGATTCATCGGCCTCTGCAACCTGTGAGCCAGCAGCCTACCGTCTGTCCTGTTGATCTTGGATTTGTCAGCCCCTGGGTCAGGCGAGGCCTCTAGCTTGATACCTGACCCACAGACTTGAGACTTGCCAGTCTCTGCAACAGTGTGAGCCACTTCCATGAGATAAATCTCTTTCTTTCTCTTTCTCTATCTCTCTCTATATATGTATGTATATAAATACACTTCACTGGTTTTGCTCCTCTAGAGAACCCAGCCTAAGTCAGCAAGGAGAAATTCACACTTGTACCCACATACACACACATACCCCTCCGTAAGTGGCATCCAAGTCAGCTCCATATAATGCTGTGTAGGTTGTATTACACAACTCCAAGGGGTGCCATTCACTCAGACAACAACGTGAATGGAGCCCCCTAGAATAATGCAAATATCAGCCCTAATCCAAGTACAGAAGCTCCTTTAAGTTTTGCTTTCTGCTGGAGAATTCAGAGGACATTCACATGATAATGACGATTGATGATGACCATGTCTTGGTTATCTAGTGTGACTGTAACAGAAATACCACAAGTGGATGGCTTTAACAAGCAGAAATTTATTCCCAGTCTAGGAGGCTAGAAGTCTGAATTCAGGGTACCAGCTCCAGGGGAAGGCTTTCTCTCTCTGTTGGCTCTGGAAGAAGGTCCTTGTCACCAGTCTTCCTCTGGTCTAGGAGTGTCTCAGGACAGGAATCTCAGGTCCAAAAGATGTGCTCTGCTCCCAGCACTGTTTTCTTAGTGGTAGGAGGTCCCCATGTCTCTCTGCTCACTTCTCTCTTTTATATCTCAAAAGAGATTGGCTGAAGATACAATCCAATCTTGTAGATTGAGTCCTGCCTCATTAACATAACTGCCATTAATCCCATTTTATCATCATAGAGAAGGATTACAACACATAGGAAAATCACATCAGATGACAAAATGGTGGACAATCACAAAATACTGGGAATCACTGCCTAGCTAATTTGACAGATTTTTGGGGCGACATAATTCAATCCATAATAACCAAAATTGGTACGTACTTACAATATGCCTATCACTTTACCCACATTATAAAGAAGGACGAAGTGAAAAACCTTAAAAATACCAAAGAGCTTGAAGGGACTTTGCTAGTAACTATTATTGCCCTTTCAAAGCAGAGGATAAATGGATAATAATAACGACAATTTTTTTCTTCAAAAAGAGATTGAGAGAATTATGCATAGAAAAACTATGCAAGTAAATATTGTAACTTAATCTAGTATTAATATTTTGACTTTGGAATTTGTTCAATTGTTATGGGTTTATAGCACTACCAGGGTAAAAGCATAGGGAGGAGAATAGTTTTTCTCTTGTAGGTTTTGAAGATTTAAAATATTTACTTATAAATGATAGCTTTTCAGGAGGTATAAATAAACAAATTTGAATCAAACAAAATACTAAAAACTAGTATAGTAGTTTCATGAACAACTCTCCAAATCATGAAGAAATTTAAATAATGATAACGTAAGCTAATTACAATGAATACAGACATTTTAAAGTTTAATTGACACAAAGAGCTTCGGTGTACATCTGAGCAATAATAATTTCTGCACCACGTGAAACTCAGACGCCACTAAGGTTATCTTAGCAAAATAGTCATAACTCTAGAAATCTATACAAGATTGTTTCCACCTTATGAAAACATAGTCATCAGTTTCTAGTTTTGCTTCTGAAACCCCCTTCCAATCTGTAAAATTCTTTTTTTTATAAGTTGTATATAGGAGAAGAACCTTTAGTCTTAACTGTTTTTAACCTTTAACAAAAACTTGAATCTGTTTTATTTAAAAATCTCATGATGTGATCTTTTCACACACTTACTTTAAAATAAAAAAGTCAAGTGCATTTTGTTAAAATCCCCTCTCTCCATAATTCCCCAATCCTTATACAATGTAGAGGCATTGAGTAATTCATCATAAGAGATCATTTATTTAAATATTGAGAATAAGATAAAACAGTATTACAATGAAAAATATTGGTGTGCTACCTTAATGATAGTGATTATGAATTGCATTCCTGAAATAATGATGCCTGTTTTTAACAGCAAATCATTTTTCCAGTCCTTTCAGGCATTTTTAAAATTTGTTTTGACATTAGATCATTGCCAAAGGCCCCAACACCTAAATAATATATTCCTATATTACTGAGCAGAATCTATCATATCATGAAGGGTAATTACTATAAAATCTGGAACTCTTTCTGTGCATTTATAGACAAATAGTTTTTTCAAGTCTTGCTATAGAGCTCTTATGGGCAAATTAATGGAGAAAAGACCTCAGCCAAATCTGCAACCTTCTCAGTAATGCGAGGAAGTCAAAATTAACCTTTATAACTTCATAAGATTCCAACTGAATCCAACCCCACTGAATGTAAATACTCAATGGTTTCTGGTTTAAATATCTATAGAAGTGATAATAAACGCTAAAATGGTGTTTTAAGGATGATAAGCTGCAAATTAACTTTTCAGTTTTGCTCAAAGGTTTTGTAGACTATAGTTCTGTCTTCTCTCTTGGCTAAGAAATTGATATACTATCTTAGTCATTGCACATCGGAAAGTTAAATGGTAGAAATTTGGCTTTGAGAAGTCGGTCTAGTTTGCTAAGTGTAATGACCCTGTTTTTAATCCTGCCTGATGGGACAGTATCTTGGATGGGGGAGTGGAGCCCTAACTCATGAAGTATGTAGGACTCATGAAGAAGAGAGGCTTGCTCTAAACTGGAGAAGAGAAAGGTGCTCAGGTGAGTTAGGAGCAAAGCTCAAGAAGAGGAAAATGCAATGACTTACCTGCATCACCTTGGTCAAATTGTTAAATAGAGCTTGGCCAGCACTCACTTTGTATTTGACACCTCTGACTGTGCCATTTTTGCTTAAAATGTTGACTCTTCTTGTACCAAAGCCCTTCTCGCTGGCAGCCCTTGCTAACACCAGCAAGTTATCCTGGTCATTCTCATGCTTGTCGCTTTCTGATCCTATGTGGCCATTTTGCTGTCCATCAGGCTCACTTAGTCCATCTATCCCACAGATACTGGCACACTCAGAGTCCAGAGAGCCTGAAGGCTGACCATCATCATACACCTCCTTCAGAACTCGCCCACTGTGAGATGATGCGATCCGAAATCGGACTCTGCGTGGCCTGTCATTTTCCGGCTTCATCTCCCGTTTTAACATGGTCACATCTACCCACATGAACAGTTTACATCACTCTGGATCCGTTGTTATCGTACTAGTCCACTGGCCACATAACAATGTCAGAACTCAATCCTAGTGACAGCAGCACTCATATGAAGCTAACATCGAAAGGAAAGAAGATTCTCAAGAACTAACAGTGCATCTCTGCTATTAATAATGAATGTGTGTGTGTGCTATGGTTACCTTTAAATTAAAACCTGCAAACTGATCCTAGCCTTTAAATATTAAATGGCCATGGTGGACTCTTTAACAGGACAAGTGCAAGAAAGTGGCATGCAATGAAACAGAAAATAAGTATGGGGCAAGGAAATGACAGACTTGAAGTTTGAAGCCAATGGTGAGTGTCAAAAAGGATCTTAGCAGCAGGAACATGTCTTTGGTTCATCTTCCAGGGTAGAGGCCAAAGGTAAAATGTGGAGTCAAAATTCAGTGCGTAAGATAGTCTCCTCACAGTGTGTATTTCTTCTGCTTTTCTCTTTTTCTTTTTTATTATGGTAAGTGTGTATGTATGTATATATATATATATATATATATATATATATATATGCATATGTATATAAAACAAAAGATTTGCTTTTTCAACATTTTTACATGTACAATTCAATGCCATTAATTATATTCATCTTGTTGTGCAACCATGAGCACTATCCATTTCCAAATTGTCCACAAGCTCATTAACACAAGCTCAGTGTCCCCTAAGTAGTGAATCCCCCTTTCACTTTCAATAGAAGCTCTCTTAAAAGGGCAGTGAACATGTTACACGTCTGCATGGAATTATCAATATCATCCGTCAAGTCAATTCCGACTCATAGCTGTCAATAATAGTTCTTATTAAATCATCAGTTAGTAAATCTACATTGTATAAGATGACTTTTCCACCTACAGCTTCATGCTCAAGTAGTTTTGCTAAAGAATAACTTTTTAACAGACTGTGAAGAGATAGAGCTTTTGCTTTCCCACTTCTGCTAATGGAAAACACTGTTTCCTTTAGTAAAGGCAAAGGGTTTGGAAAGGAAACGTATGGAACAGCGAGGGAAGAATGGAAAATCCTCCAAGCCAGCCAAATCAGCCAAACAATCCAGGTGATCAGAGTTGATAAATATATCCAAATCACCCATGCATAGAGAAAGGTCCTCCTTATGCTCTGCTGAAGTGTATTTTCTATCACTTTGGCGAGCACCCGAGGAACCTGTTAAGATATACAGCCATCTTGAAACTTATACTGTACTGAGTATCCCAAGCTGTCTGCATCTGAAAGGGGAGGATAAGCAGCTGACCATCACACTGCACTGCAAGTGTTTTAATGCTTATTACTTTTTATCTGATTATGGACTTAAGTTATATTTATTTCAGAAAATGCAGGAAAAGTTGAAAATAAAAATCACAGATAATTTCACTAGGGATGTTAATAATGTATTTTCTTCCAGTGTGTATGGCAGAGACTGACTAGATACTCACAAAACTACATGTCCCAAGTTTCTTGCATTTAAGGCAAAAGAGAGCAAGTGCCTAATTTTTGCCAGTGGATTGTGAACAAAAGTGATGTGTCTTTGATAGAGCAAAGCAGTTAAGAAAGAGAATGCCCTGTCCTTGCTAGTTCTCTTCCCTCCCCACAGTCCATTAGACAGCTGGATGAATCCAGAGCAATCTTGAAGCAATATACTGAGAAAGTCACAATCACAGAGGAAGCCCACACCCACTATGAACTTGCATTGGACTATATTGTGAATAAGAAGTAAACCTTTATTGTGTTAAGCAATAGAGGTTAAAATTTAGTACTTGTTTATTAAAGCAGCTAACATTTACTTAATCTAACTAATATGCTCTCATATATAAAATTGCACTGCAACTATTTAGATTCTTGTTTTTTCCATCCAATATTACATAGTGAGCAATTTCCTATACCATTATTCCTCAAAAAACATGAATATGATGTTTATATTTAAAGTCCTTTTAATAATTGTACCATATTTTATTAAATATCAACTACTATAATAATGCTGTACTGAACATTCTTGTTCATAAATCTGTATACATATGTCTGATTAGTTCTATAGTATAATTTTTTGGGGGGGAGGTAAAATTGATGAGGCAAGAATTTGGAAATTTTTAAAACTCCTGATGCAAACTGCCAATTGTGTTGAAGAAAAAATGTATAATTTATGCATCTGCTAGTGTGAGTGTCTGTTTTATTGCACCCTTGCCAATGTTGAGTGTAACCAATTTTTAATATTTTTTTATTTTGCTAAGTTGAAAAGCAGTGTTTCACTGTTATTATAGTTTCCCAACTTTAAGCACTACTGATGACTTTTATTATAAATATTTATTTCATATAGAATTCTAACTTAAGAGAGAGACAGAGAAGAAGGAAAATCCCTAGCTAATAGCTAATCAAATTGGGAAGTCAATAAATAAAGAACTCTATTTAATGCCATAAAAGAAACCAAAAATCCATTGCCATCAAGTTGATGTCAACTCATAGTGACCCTATAGGACAGAGTAGAACTGCCCCATAGGGTTTCCAGGGAGTGGCTGTTAGACTGGAACTGCTTATCTTTTGGTTAGCAGCTGAGCTCTTAACCACTGGGCTACCAGGGCTCCCTTAAAAGAAAAGGAGGTGGAAAAACAGAGAGGGATATAGAGACTGATTTATCACCAAAGGGAAATATATCAAATATATCTAAATGGCAATATAAAGTTACTTTAATTCAGTGAAGTAAACGAGTATATAGTCAAAGTACATATAACAAGAGAACTTAAACGAGGAAATACTTATTCAGGCAAAAGGAAAATAATAATGCAATTTTATGTTCAGAATGCATGTTTATGCACGTAGAGAGGGCATGGGCTTCTCTCGATTATTTTTTATTTTTGTTTTTATCCTGAGCTCCCCATTTAATCTTCTCCAGCTCCATCTTTGTGGTCTTTTGAGTTGGAGGCAGTGTGTTGTATCATTAGCAAGATTGTAATGTCAAAGAAACTAGGTTTAAATCCCAGTATACCTATTGCCATCGAATCTATTCAGGCTCATGGTGACTCCATTTGTTATAGAGTAGAACTGCTCCATAGAGTTTTCTTGGCTGTAATCGTTATGAAAGCAGATCACCAAGCCTTTCTTCTGTGGCGTCGCTGCATTGGTTTGAACTGCCAGCCATTAGGTCAGCAGCTGATTGCAAGTCACTTGTACCACCCAGGTGCCAGTATACCATGGTAGAATGTTCTTTTCACCACCTAAATCTTGAGTTTCCCCATCAGTATAATGAAGACAAGGGATCCCTGGTAGGTTCAATGTTTAAAGCATTCGGCTACTAACTGAAAGGTCAGCAGTTCAAACTCACCAGCTGCTCCACAAGAGAAAGATGTGGCAGTCTGCTTCCGTTAAAATTACAGCCTTGGAAACCCTATGAGGCAGCTCTACTCTGTCCTTTAAAATGCTTATGAGTTGAAATCAACTCGATGGCAATGGGTTGGTTTATGATGGAGACAACAATATCTCCCTCAGAGAGTTGTGTTTGCAAAATACCTAGAACATATACTCATTTAATGTGTTTGTTATGGGTCCTCTGGATGAAAATGACTAATTTAAGCTTAACTAACAGCACACAACAACAACACAAAGCAAGACAAAGACGACACAAGATCACAGTCAATGAATATATTTCAGCAGAAAGAGAATTTATTAGAAGGACTAATAATGTTGAACTAAGTTAACTAAGTTAAATATATATAGAATGACTAATAATGTTGTATTTTTAACAAGTTAAATATATTTATATAATGTGTATATATCTGAATCTATACACACATACATATGTATATACTATGTTATATAATATTTTTAAATGACAAGACCAGTTAAGAGTCATCTCTCTTTCAAGGATGGACTATTCTCCAGTAAACTAGAAACTTACCTTCTATAAGTATAAGGAAGTGTCTGCTAGAGTGAGAAGCTACATGAACCCACCATTCTATTTGCCTTGATGTGTAATATGCCCATGATAATTATAATTTGCACATTTATCTTAAGCTAAAATAAAAAGTTGTTCTTTTCACTTGCTAAATCTTTGCAATTCTTCATTCTTTCAGGCAATGAATATTTCACAGTATCTATTGCGTGCCACTCAGAAATAAAATATTATGGTAAACACAACCAAAACCAAACCAAACTCATTGCCATCAGCTGTAAATCTTTATGGACGCAGAGTGCCCCTGTGGGTTTGAACTGCTGACCTTTCGGCTAGCAATCAAGCACTTAACCACTTGGGCCACCAAGGCGCCTTTGGTAAATACAAAGATGTATAAAATAATGATCCATGCTTTCCTGTCTAATTGGTAACATAATGCTTAATTAAACAAAATAGCTATAGTTCAATGTAGTATATTTTAAGCACATATAGGATGCCCCTTACTTGAGATAATGGAATTTCTACTCATCTCTTGATGCACATTGAATGGTATCCCCAGAAAGGATATGTTGAAGCCCTATCCCCTTGTACCTGTGAACGTGACCTTGTTTGGAAATAAAGTCTTTGAAAAATGTTATCAGTTAGCATGAGGTCATACCAGAGTAGGGTGTGTTCTAATACAATCTGAGCGATGTTTTTATAAAAAGAGGAGAACAAACAGAGAAATACACAAGGGGAAGACAGCCATATAAAGACACATCTACAAGCCAAGGAACACCAACGGCTACCAGAAACTGAAAGAGACAAGAAAAGATCTTCTCTTATAGTCTTTAGAGAGAAATGGTCCTGCCGACACCCTGAATTTGAGCTCAGGCCTCCAGAATTATAAGACAGTAAATTTTTGTTGTTTAAAGTCACCAACTTTGTGGTATTTTGTTTAAAGTTACCCACTTCGTGGTACTTTTTTTACCACAGCCCTAGGAAACTAATAAAACACTATTCTTAATACTCTCTACCTTTATTCTGTTCACAATTTTTTCCTAGCTTCTCAATATCAATATAGCAACTTCTCACCACTCCATTTGTCACCTTTCTCCCAGTATAATTTTATCACCCCCTACATTTTAATTGCTTTGCTAGCTGAACCTTCTTCCTTCACCAAGAATGTCCTT